GTCCATACTGGTCCAGGTAGCCTGTCAGCTGGCGGCTGTTGCAAGTGGCCAGCTATATGTGTTTTGTGTTGTTGTGTCTGTAGCTGGTTAATTTTTTATTAGATTTGCTGCAGCACTGTCTGCAACGTGCCCATAATTTCTAGCTGTGTATGTGTGTGTGCGTGTGTGGAAAATTGTTGCTTCTAAAGTTGGCTCCCTTTCGCTGCTTTCCCCCATGAAACGATGTAGCCAAAAATTCAATCAAAAAACTACAAGCGTAAACAAGTGGGTAACATGGCCAGCTCTTGTATCGCTTCCACTTCAATTTTCAAGTGTTTTCCTTTTCAGTTGTTCGAATCAAATTTTTGTTCTTTTTGGGGTGTCTTTGGCTGTTTTTTCGCCAACTCGAATTGAAAATCGCAGATGGCAGGGTTTGATTTCGGCCAGGTTTAAGCACAGCCTTGCTTCACTCTCCCGCCCTCTCTCTCTCTCTGTCTCTGTGCGGTCCCCTCCATCAGCCGCTTAATACACCTAACAGCCGCGCTAAGTCCTGACGAGGCTTATGGCCAAACGTCGTTCAAGAAGTATTTGCACTCATTTTGCGGCCTTCAAGTATTCGAGGCCTAAGTTACCTAACCGCTGCGGCTGCTGATATCTGCTGATTTGTTCTTCAATATTTTCAAAAGGAGGGTACTTCTATTTTTAGAGGAAACTGGAATAAATGTAGTAAGCAATCATGTAAAAGAGGATGTGGATAACAGTCAAAGAGTTGGACTTTTTGGGTTTATCAATCAGATAGATAATTAATAATAATTGGGGCAATGAGTCAGTCGCATATCGTGCTCAACATGTCCATCAGTGAATATGTTCGCCAAATTAAAATCTGAAAATTCCTAGGTCAATCAATAAGTCAGCAGGAAAGTGATTTAGTCAGTAGATCAATCAGGCTCAATCAGTGAATAAATAATGCAGTCACTCTTGTTTTAAACGCAGTCTATTCTTCTAGTTTAGTCTAGGTTAGTCAATCTAGGTAAGCCAATCAATCACTAAAGAAGTGAGTCAATCATTCAGTTCTGCAATCAGAGTGATTAATAAGTCAATAAGTAAGTTATTCAATCTGCTCTTGAATCAGAAAGTAAGCCAATCACTCTATGAGTCAGTCAGATTTCCAATTAATTAGTCAATGTATCCGCATGCCAATCGAGCACGCAATCTAATAGTTGTCAGTCAATCAATCATCTTATTTAATTCAATTAGCTTGTATTTTAGAGTATTAAATCTGCGGCATTTGGAAATTGGTTTTGCTGTTTTGTTTTTATTGCTGATTGTTTCGATTCTTTTCGAGGATAACAATAAATTTTTATTGTTGTTCCGCTCGCCTTTCGCTTTTTGTTTGTTGTTTATGTTTCGGTTACAGTTAGGTTTGTTCTTTTCCTTTTCATTTTTTGTCTAGGAGGTTTTCGCTTTCGAAATGTGGCTTGGCTCTGTCTTATTTATTGATTTCTGACTTATTTTTTCTCTGCTGGCATTTTGGCAAAAAGTTTTTTGGCTAACAAATGTTTTGAACTTTGTCAAATGTTTTCATTTTTCTGCAGTTGTTGATGCTGTCGTGACGGAAAACTTAATTTAAGCTAATTAAATTGCTGCGTAGTAACAGTAAACTTCATTAAGTTTTCCATCTGTTGTCGTCTCGAACAATGAGGCAAGCTAATGTCCCCGAACGATGGCCTGGAAGCTGGAACAGTGCTTCATACTCCAAATTGTCATAACTATGGCGCTGTTTCATGTTTTAGCTGTTGTTGTTGTAGTTGCAATTAGCTTCGAGTTGGCAGCTGGTTTTGCCCTCAACCTGTTGTGTTTGCTGCAAAACTTTTCGGTATAAAAGTCTGTTGCATAGTTCTTCGTAGGGCTCCCTCTTTGGGCAAAGTTTCTGTTGCCAAGAAATAGAAATATTTGACTCTAATCATTTAAAGGGCTTACAAGTACAATGGTCCACAAAAGCTTCGCATTAGATCTTTCAATTCACAAATAATCAAAACTTTTATATACATACATATATTCAAGCGTCCATATTTATGTAGACGTGTGTGCACTTTAAAGCAATTAAGAGTCTTTGATATAATGTGCTTGCTGTAATCCGATTAGATTCAGCAAATATGGCATGTGAAATATAAGCGGATTAGCTTCGAATCGTTTAAGGTAATGCAAATGGCATGAATCCGTTTAAAGTGGATTACAAGTTTATGAAACTGATTGCCTAACCAATTATTAATATATAATGAAATAAAGATATTACGTAGGAATATATTGCTAAATTTATTTATTAATTTAAATGAAGTAGATAAGTATAATGAAATTAAGATATTAAGTAGAAAAATTATTGTTAGATTTATTTATTGATTTAAATTAAGTAGATAAGTATAATGAAATAAAGTAGAAAAATTATTGTTAAATTTATTTATTAATTTAAATGAAGTAGATAAATATAATGAAATAAAGTAGAAAAATTATTGTTAAATTGATTTATTAATTTAAATTAAGTATATCGCATCTTTAATCCTATAAATATTAATTAAATATATAAATTAAATTTTATAATGTAGTATTATAATATTGATTGACTCGCTGCTCTTCTAATTTTTATAGTTTTACTATAGTTCTACTTCGGCGCTCATTGGTTAATTCATTTAATTTTTTATATTTATTAATCTAATAATAAATAGTCTGACGCGACAAATCATATTCCTTAGCGATTTTTATAACCGAAATACCCAAGTTATGTCACAATTTCTCTTCTTGTTTGTTGACTTAACTTAGATATTTTAACCATTTGTAATATTAAAATCCCGATAATATGAAATAAATACGCATTTATGAAATCAAAAGAGAATTTCTCAAAAATTTCTTTATAAAAACTTCAAAGTTCGCCCAGAAACAACGAAATCACGCAATGTCAAAATACTTATGCCGCTGCAATCGCTGGCATTTTGTATCAGAAGAAAGAACTGACAAAAAATGTCGCAAATTTACAGTTATTAGTGTGCACTTTACTTTGGCATTTATTTTCGCTTCGTGAAATGCAATGGTACTTAGAAAAAAAACTAATAGTGAAATGTAAATGATGTCAAAATATATATGCCGACCAGTGTACAGTTATATAGCTCTTCGCTAAATGCAACGGTACTTAGAAAAAAGACTAATAGTGAAATGTAAATATATATGCCGACCATTGTACAGTTCTATGCTCTCTCTTTTTCCTGTCTGCTTCGATTATGTTGTTCATGTTCTTTAGCTTTTCTAAAAATAACAAATTGCTTCGGTTCTTAGGCAAGATGCCCTCATTGTAGGCATATTTGAATTTGTTATTTTTTATTATTTTTTTACTCTTAAAGTATTTCTTAAAGTGTTTTGCATGTGTTTTGCCCATGCATTTTCCATTGTACCCTCAAGTTTTCTTGTCTGTTGCAGTTTGTCATAATTTGCAACTGCTGCAGCGCATTGCAGCGACTACCATGTTGCACATGCCCCAATCCCTACGTTGCACTTGTTCCTATTAACTGCTGAGCCATTTGGAGTTAATATAGCAAGAAGCAGGGCGGGGGGGCAGGCAGTGGGAGGCAGCTGGGAGCAATGGCTTGGCATTTGTAGTGCATGTCCTTGTTGCTTGTTGCTGCTGTTCATATAGCAGCTGGCTAGCTGGTTGGCTGGTTGGCTGGCTGGTTGGTTGCTTGGCTGGTTCTTGGTGTCCTTTGACAATGTCGCTGCATAATTTATGACTGCTTAGTTGCAGTTGGCTTTTTTGTGCCACCACCACCGACGCCGCAAGTTGACTGCCACTTGCCACTTGCCACTTGGCACATGGCATGTCGTCTGTCTGCTGCCACAGTGCGTGGCAGGACTCTTGAATCAACTGCCATTCGATGCGATTGATATCCCCATCTAGCATATGCATTTGCATAAGACCAAACGCACTTTAAGCGCTGCGGGTCAATTGGAATTGGCCCGAAGTGCGGCTCTAACTCAATTATTCAGCCATTTCATTTATGGCCAGTCCGGTTGAGATTTACAAGAGATGCCACACACACACACACACGCATGGCTCATAAATTGTAGGACTACAGCATATGGCTAGCAGAAGGACCGCCCTTGATTGCTGCTGCTGCTACCCACCCGCGGGGCATAAAGTGTGTTGCTGTTGTTTTTAGAAGTGGTTCCAGCTCGTGCTTTTCTTATTGTTGTACTTAATTAGGGCTATGGCTGTGGCGGCAATAACTCATCTGAAATTTATTAAAGCTGCCAATGAAATGCGTCATTAATTTTGCCCCACACTAAGGAACACAATAAAAACGATGTAAAAAGCGCAACATTTTGAGCCATTTTCCTTTTATGATCTATGCGGATGAAACACAGCATAACTAAAGTATTGGCTAAGAGTTTGTTGGCGAAATCAAATATACTTTAACTTTAAGAAATACAAAAACATGGATTGTACAAAAATATAAAATAAAATAGAAATTAGAGATTAGAGAAAATATACTTAAAATCTTGATATTTTATCAATACCTCAGACTCATCGAACAGGCTCTGAAATTATAAAAATAAATGATTATAATGTTTACCTGTCTATGCACCCTTCAACCAGTTGAAGATGAGGACTTTCTCTTGTAATACAACGGTAAACTCGACAATGTCAGCACGGAAATAGGACAGAGCGCTGCAGCCTCAAGAACAGTACTAAATGGCTCTATTTGAATATTGTATCAATACTGCCCGCAACAAGAATAGCAAGATTATTTTAATATATTTGACCATAGTAGGAACAGGCTGACGAAGACATTTTCCATACAATGGGAAATGTCAGCCATAGATTTAGCAGTTTACAAAGGAACAAGTAGAGAGCTTATTCAAATCAAAGATTCGTGTGACTTAGGCTCAGATCATTTGCCCCTTAAATAATGATCTGAATGTGCCCTTTATGAACACATCCTTCTTAACACTGAAATACACATGTGTAAACGTGGTTTAAGTCCTCTAATGTCGGTTTATATTTGTCTTCTTTAATGATCTATACAAACTATAAATCTACTAGTCATTCATTGCGACTAAAGCTTTCTTACTTGTTATGATTAAGTGCGTTAATCCTAATCACATTATAAACTTGAAATCACTAAAATTTGTACATATTTACATATTAGATTGAATGGCTAACCATTCGTCCAGTTCAACGTCGTCTAAGGTGAGCAATTTGAATAAATTTTCAAAGTCCTGTTCCCGAACATTTGGTTTTGACCTGGCAAACTTATTAAAGTATCGAACGATAAAATTTAAATGTCCTGTGGAGTCTGTTGATCCAAGAATCATTCTACGAGCCTGAAACTTGAAGGCAATATACCGTCTGTTGATGTTTTTCTTTTGTTGGTGGCTTAGACTTTGGAATTTGCCTTTGGTCCATCGGTCAAGTAACTCCTCGTCTTTGTCAAGCAGCAACATTTCCTTTGCCGCGTTAAACTCTTGCAGAGCAGCGTCATCTTCCGCCAAAATTGACAGTTGAGGAGTCCATTGATCGACAAACAGTTTCCATTTCATTAGTTCCTCTTCATTCACAACATCTGAGCTAACAATTGATCGGGCCAATGACAAGATTAAATTTACATTATCCTGTTGTATAAGCTTCTTAGTTTTTCGCGCAGCTGCTGCGAGATTTTCTCTGAGTTCGCCAGGCAAGAACGCGGCATTAACAATGCTCTGAAAGCAGTAGATGGGCATTAGAATACAATAATTAGTCTGATTTTATTTATACCAGAAACGCGAGAAAAGATACAATAAAGCGCATTCTGGAAATATAAATAATTAATTGACAAGTGTAACTTAAGACAAAATTTTATAGAATATGGA